ATTAGGGACAACGAAGGAGTGCAAAAGCTTGTTTATTACGTGACTAGGGCCGAGGAACAGAGATAAGATATTCAGGGCTAGAAAAGCTGGCACTTACCCTGATCTCAACAGCAAGGCGTCTCTGACATTATTTTCAGAGTCACTTTATCATCGTCGTCACGAACCAACCTCTAAAGAGAGTCCTGGGAAAGCCAAATGTATCTGGAAGACTCCCTAAGTGGGCAGTAGAGCTTGGCAAGTTTGATGTGCAATATCAACCAAGGGCAACCATTAAAGCACAAGTCTTTGCGGACTTCGTTGCCGAGCTCACACCGGCGGAGGAAGACAGCGGAACCTCGGCACATCAGGAAGCCTCATTCGAAGAATAATCAAACACAAGCACGTAGACCTGGCGCCCAAAACAACATGATACAGCGCCCAAGGCATCCTAGCACCAAAGGCGAGCACCTTGGACTCCAAGGCCCCCTTTCTACCGCCTCCCTGGAAACTCTACGTTGATGGCTCTTCTACCAGCGAAGGAGGTGGAGCAAGCCTAATCCTGATCAGCCCTGATGGTGCTCCTATCAAATATGCCGTGAAGCTTTACTTTGTGGCCTCCAACAATGAAGTAGAATATAAGGCCCTCCTCATTGGCTTAAGGTTGACAATTGAAATGGAAGCCCAACACCTCATCACTTATAATGACTCTCAATTGATAGTCAACCAAGAGAAGGGCAAGTTCGAAGCAAAAGGAACTAGAATGCAATAGAACCTTGAAATAGTGCAAGCCTTGCTGACTTAGTTCCACCACTTCTAGATCTGTCACATCTCGAGGGGAGACAATCTCGCTACGAATGCACTAGCCAGGTTTGCCTCATCCTCGGAAGCCCCATCAGGACCAGCATTCATCGGTCACCAATTCAAACCAATTAGGCTAGACGTGGAAGCCATTAACATCAACTGCACATCTGTCGAGTCGAACTGGATGACCCAAATAAGGGCATACCTTTAGGAAGGCACGTTGCCAGACAACCCATTGGAGGCCAAGAAGCTCATAATGAAAGCCTCCAAGTTCACTATCTTGTAGGACATCCTATACAAAAAGGGCTACTTCCTACCACTATTACGTTGCCTCTCCCTAAAGGAAGCGAACTATGCCCNATAATGAAAGCCTACAAGTTCACTATCTTGTAGGACATCCTATACAAAAAGGGCTACTTCCTACCACTATTACGTTGCCTCTCCCTAAATGAAGCTAACTATGCCTTATGAGAGATCTATGAAGGAGTTTGTGGAAATCACTCCGAAGGACGCTTCCTAGCCCACAAGGCACTCAGGCAGGGTTACTTTTGGCCTAGCATGGTTAGGGATTCACAGGAGTTCACCAAAAAATGTGACAAGTGCCAACATTTTACCACTATGCCTAGGCAGCCACCAGAAGAACTGATAGTCATCACAAGTCCATGACCCTTTTTCAAATGAGGCATCGACATCTTAGGCCCCTTGCCTCTAAGTAGGGGGCAGTGATAACGCCATCGACTACTTCACAAAGTGGACGGAGGTCGAGCCCTTAGCAAAGATAACAGATTCAAAAGTCAAGGACTTCATCTGGAAGAATCTAGTCNCACAAGTCCATGACCCTTTTTCAAATGAGGCATCGACATCTTAGGCCCCTTGCCTCTGAGTAAGGGGCAGTGATAACGCCATCGACTACTTCACAAAGTGGATGGAGGTCGAGCCCTTAGCAAAGATAACAGATTCAAAAGTCAAGGACTTCATCTGGAAGAATCTAGTCTGTCGTTTTGGAGTACCCCACGCTATAGTCAGTGATAACGCCAAGTAATTCGACAACAGACTTCTGAACTCGTTTTATGCTGACCTCCAAATAAAACAGCTTCATTTTAGCCCAACGCACTCACAGGCAAATGGACAAACAAATGTCATAGTCAGAACAATACTACGCAACCTAAAGACGAGGCTGGAAAGAGCAAAGGGTCTCTANCAAGTAATTCGACAACAGACTTCTGAACTCGTTTTATGCTGACCTCCAAATAAAACAACTTCATTCTAGCCCAACGCACTCACAGGCAAATGGACAAACAAATGTCATAGTCAGAACAATACTACGCAACCTAAAGACGAGGCTGAAAAGAGCAAAGGGTCTCTGGGTGGACGAACTCTCAGGTGTATTATGGTCCTACCAAACGACACCAAGAGCCCCAACTAGAGAAACTCTTTTTTCACTCGCCTTTGGAANGAAAGAGCAAAGGGTCTCTAGGTGGACGAACTCTCAGGTGTATTATGGTCCTACCAAACGACACCAAGAGCCCCAACTAGAGAAACTCTTTTTTCACTCGCCTTTGGAACTAAAGCAGTTATACCTGTGACGATTAGGATATGTTCCTTAAGGTTCCAACATCACGACCCAATCACCAACGAGGAAAGACTCCGCATCATCCTCGACTTGGTGGAGGAGGAAAGATAAATGACCATAGTTCAAAACACGGAGTACAAACGCCACATAGCGAGATACTACAACTCGAGGGTGAAACCTCGCTCCTTCCTACTAGGAGACTTAATTCTCAAGAAAGTAATCCTCGCCATGAAGGATTCGCAAGAAGGGAAGCTTGGACCGAATTGGGAAGGACCCTATCTCATAACAGAAATAGTGAGGCCAGACACCTATAGGATCTAGAATTCAAAAGGAAAAGTCTTACCCCATCCATGGAATGTTGAGTATCTGAAAGGTACTACCAATGACACTTAAGGAGGGCATAAGTAATAAAGCTGGGGACTTGATTTTATTTTTTCTAGTACCTTGTTTGGGTTATTATCCACCATTGCTTAGCATGAGTAGTCATCAAATAAAATTTTCTAAATTTACTTCAAAAAGTTCATTGCATTCTATTTCAAGTGAACATCAGTGGTAAAAAACCACTTTTACAAAAGTAGGCTACACACTGCCTTTCTAAAAAAAAAAAATCAAAAGTCTCTAGTTCTCTAACTACTCTCATGGCCGCCATCCTCCTTGTCCTCTACACTGTCAGAGTCACCATCACCACCATCAACATCATCAGGTGCCTCATATGCACAAAGCCTAAAATGTCAATAAAAGGAAAGTAGTAGAAATGTTTCCCCAAAACTCCTCGTAGCCATCAATGAAGGCATCTAGAAGACCACTCTCTAAATCAGCCTTAGACTTGGTGGCCCTATCATGAGCCAATCACAGATCCGCCTCAGCTTAGGAAACTCTCTCATGAGCTACCTTCAACTCTACTTTCGCTCTCAAGCAGGCAGCCTCACCATCTGCCTCAAGCTTAGCGGCCTTATCGCAGGTCGTCACAAGCTCTGCCTCAAGCTTAGCGGCCCTCTTGAGGGTCACCACAAGTTCTGCTTCAGCCCATGTGCAAGCAATCTCTTTAAGCATAACCTTCTCACGGTTCGCCACAAGCTTAGCCTAAGAAGCTTCACCATTAGCCTCAAGCTCAACAATCCTCCCTTGAACAGCAAAAAAATCCCTTTTTACAGCTTCAAGAATAAACCTCTCCCCCCTGACAATTGAGCTTAACTAGCTAAACTAGATAACCCTAAAAAAAGGGCACATAGACGCAACTGAAACCTAATGAAGATAAAGGAATGTCAGTATCCAAGAGAGGGACAAGAGCAAGGGAGAAAACAAACCTTTACCTAGGCCAAACCTTCCAGAACAATGTCTATGATGCCCTCAGTGCCCTAAGCACCAACTTGATTGATCTTTGCTGGAAACAAAAATCTTCCAAGTCGCTCCCTGACGATCCGCACATCACCTAACATAGAGACGGTCTGAGTGACTGCCCTTATAAAAGTCTCTGCAGGAGGATTCGATGAATGGAGGGTAGGAGGTATGGCTACTTTGGAAGTCTCTGGAGTGGCAATCACCTTTGAAGGAGTCATTGATTGGGGAAACACCACAAGAGGCATCATCTGAGAGGGGCTCACCAAAGCATTGCTTACCCTCGCCACCTTAGGAGGAGGAGTACCCTTAGTGGAATAACGGGACTCCATCACTACCCTATCACTGTAGTGGGATAAGGTGTTATCTTGAAGCAAAACTAAGTAAAGAAAGAAAATCCAAGGGCATTAGCATACATTTTCTCTTCAAGGAAGAACTGTCAGGCCTCAGAGATGGTGCACCAACCCTAGCACTTCCAGTAGGAGAGTCTCTAGCCCCACTCTCTTTGAGCATAAGAGTTCCAAAGTTCTTCATAGGGTGAGCCTTCACATCTTGTAATTTCCATTCTTGGTCCTTTGAGAGCACTAGAGAGCCTGGAAGAAATGTTATCAGAACACACTACAAAAAAAGGCAAAGGAAAAAAAGTAAAGAACGAGCATACCAATTCTCTTGGGAGTATCCCACCTTGTCGGTACCAAAGCCTTGTCAGTCTCTGAAGCCCATTCTCCGTCAACAAACATAAAGTGAGCCTTCCAGCTATGGCAATTAGAACGCAATCTAGTAATCAATTTACCTCCCCTTGGAGCAAAGTAGTACCAGCCACGATTGGGAGTAGGAGTCTCACTCAAAGTATAAACCGCATAGAAATCTTCAAGAGAAGCATCCTCATGATGCGCTTTTCTCCACAGTGCCAGAAATCCCAGCAAAACTGTCCAACCGTTGGGCACCAATCGTCCTGGTGCAAGTGAAAAACAATGGAGAATGCAACAAATAGAATAAGGCATTGGGAACCTCAGCTTAACCTTAAGCACCTCCACATAAATGGAGATGTCTCTAGATGAGTCATCGCAAGCAGGCTCACTCATTTCAGTGTTAAGGGTACTAGAAATGGTACTTACTTTGGATTTGTCATCATCAAGAACTACCTTTCCTCGATGTTTGTTTTTGTGAGGGTGAGAAAAATTGCCCAGGCCACTGTTAGAAGACCCTTAAGGGATCTAACTCCGTGACGTTCCACCTGAATGAACCATATAATCCGCCGTCTGCCCAAAATTAGTGCCACCAGAACACTAGCCTCCCCTAGCGTACTCTACTTCATGACCTCGGACCCAAACTTCCTAGCTTCGTGCCCAACCACTGTTGCCAAGCCTAGCTCGCCCAACGTCAACAGGTCCACATCTAACATCACCCACTTGTGCCCTAGCCCAAACACTGTCGCTCGCATGATCGCCTGGTTGTGCCTAGTGTTTCGCAATGCCACTAGCACGAGTACCTGGCCATACCAAATATCTGGCGAACCCAATTGTGGGCTCCACTGCCAGTGTTTGTCATCTAGCATCACCCTTCTACCATGGTCAACAGAGCCACCATCCCTCGACGACCCTGGCGCCTCGCCATCAGCCCCCTCACCCGTAAGACCTTACCATCAACGCCCTTCACTTGCTCACTGGCGAACATCGCCCTTGACGTCGACCCCTAGCGCCTCGGCCTCCCTAATTTGTGCCTCATCTTCGGCGCTCTCTCCATGATAGGCACGTCCCTCCAGCGGTGCCCATGGTGCCTCACGATCAGCGGCGCCCATGGGGTCTCGCCCAAAGTGCCCTCTCTCATCCTCGCATCCTGGGCGTGCTCTTGGCGCCTCGTCTCCAGGGCCCACGTGAATTAGATCAGCATTTGTGTAGCCTTCAAGCTCGCCTACAACACCATGGCACCCAGTTTCTATAACTCCACCTTTCAGTCACCACTACACCAGTGAGTTCCTAACCACCTGCTTCAACGCCAATTGCTCCATCACCATAGATACCGGTGGACCTTCGCATCTCTTCTCCTTCAATCGGTATTATCTCTAAGCAAAAAACTTGGAATGGGATCGCAAAGCTTCCCTCTTGCTTTTGTTATTGGGACATCACTAGAAGCCCTCTCTTTATTCGGAGAAGAAAATATCAACAATAAATTGAGAATGGTAAAACAAAAGAGTCTTAGTAATTAAAAATTAAATGCATAAATTAAAATTAAATAAAATATCATCTACCGTACAAGTTCATCCCTCGCCCTACCTGAGAATTTAGTTACCCATAAATATAATGGATAACAAAAATCTCCTAAAAAAAATAGAACAAATCGGCGACATCAGAGCTTTTTCCCTAATTTGCGTCTCCTCTCTCTGCTCCCCGAATAGCCGCCTCCTCTGTTCTTCTTTTTCTTCTTTCTTCTAGCCGCCACACACCAAGGATAAAGAACAAAAAACAATAGCTNCCCATAAATATAATGGATAACAAAAATCTCCTAAAAAAAATAGAACAAATCGGCGACATCAGAGCTTTTTCCCTAATTTGAGTCTGCTCTCTCTGCTTCCTGAATAGTCGCCTCCTCTGTTCTTCTTTTTCTTCTTTCTTCTAGCCGCCACACACCAAGGATAAAGAACAAAAAACAATAGCCGCCTCAGCCCAAGGAAAAAGCAAGGGTTTTTCTTAAAAGTCAAAGTCCCCCCCCCCCTTTTCTTGAGAAAATGTATTTTCATCCCCTCTTTATTCCAATCTTTTTATTTTAGCCCCTAAAGCCCAAATCTTGTGTAGTTTGAGAAAGATGAAGCCCGATAAAAATTATGAGTGTTGGGCCCACTTGACAGCTACATCAATTTTAGTCTTTTATTCTATGGGCTGCCTTCAAAATAAAAACAAATATAAAACCTGAATAATAAAGTTCAAACAAATATTAAGTGTAAATNTGCCTCAGCCCAAGGAAAAAGCAAGGGTTTTTCTTAAAAGTCAAAGTCCCCCCCCCCTTTTCTTGAGAAAAGGTATTTTCATCCCCTCTTTATTCCCATCTTTTTATTTTAGCCCCTAAAGCCCAAATCTTGTGTAATTTGAGAAAGATGAAGCCCGATAAAAATTATGAGTGTTGGGCCCACTTGACAGCTACATCAATTTTAGCCTTTTATTCTATGGGCTGCCATCAAAATAAAAACAAATATAAAACCTGAATAATAAAGTTCAAACAAATATTAAGTGTAAATCCCAATTATAAATTATCTCTCACCAACCAATAATGCAATATTTAAGATTTAAAATATTAAAAAATCATGCTCAAAAATATCTCAGTGTGAATATATGTTAAATTCAATAATATAAATTATATCTAATTATTTTTATTCACATTTTAGCATTTTAATCCCATAGTTGAGTATTTAAAATGCACTTTCACACACTCATCATACCCCCCAACTTACTCATTGCTAGTCCCTAGCAATTTTTATGCTGAAACAATGAAAGAAACTAAAGAATATCACACACAAAGGTCTCCAAGTCACACTTTTCAGATTCACATATCAAAACAATCTTAGAAATTCAATAACTCCATCACAAGTAATTCACAGAGTGTGTGTGTGTTCCAAACTATATCCATCTAACCAGAAGCCCTGACACATGCAACATCAAGAACATCTCAAGCGAAAGGTTCAACTTCATAATTCATGGATATAAAATTGTTTCGTGTGGAGATTCTCTCTATGGAGTTGACAATGGGTGTGCACATACTCTCATGGGGAATTAGACAATTTTGTACAAGAAACAAGCAAACATTGATCTTATGATAGAAATACTAACAAATGAGACTTCCACCACGCTTTCCCAATAGCTTACTTAGGATCAAAACGGTCAACACAAAAGGTTGTAATGCGGCTTAGGTTTGAGGCTATATANAATGAGACTTCCACCACGCTTTCCCAATAGCTTACTTAGGATCAAAACGGTCAACACAAAAGGTTGTAACGCAGCTTAGGTTTGAGGCTATATAAAAAAAATGGAAAGGATTCAAAAACTTCCAAGTACATATAGAGGAAATCTTGTTAAATCTCTCAATAAACCACATTTCTTACTTGATGTACTCTTCAACCTTTCAAGTCATCGAATAATGCCTCTTTTTCTTTTCGTTTCTTTTTTTTCCTTTTCTTTCCTTTGTTTTAATCAATTTTNCTCTTCAACCTTTCAAGTCATCGAATAATGCCTCTTTTTCTTTTCGTTTCTTTTTTTCCTTTTTTTTAATCAATTTGGTGAACAATTATGTTACCCTAGTATTTTGCTATTTCTACCCGGCCTTGGGTTTTTTCTTTTTTTGCAGCTCACTCACTTGAACACCTTGTAACTCATGTTCTTCCCTTTTTTCTCTCTGTCTCTTTTTTTTTTCAAAAAGAATTCCACATCTAGTACACACTTGGAAGTAATAAGGGTAGAAAAAATCAGTGTATAGGTTACACTCCAATATGGAGAGGTATGAATAATGTAGGCATATGAAAAGAAAATGCTACATGTGTTTATTGGTTCAAAGTTGGCTAATAGGGGTCTAATGTGGAAATGGTTAGCTTGAAAGGCTCAAACGTTGATCCTAAGTTGACCTTTCTCATATCCCAAGTATATCCACTATCTTACCACAAACCATGTAATGATATTCTCAAAAGCAGTACCCAGTTCAACAGATCAATGAACGCTTATCGCAATTTACTACATTGGTAGGCTCTCACTCCTCTCCAAAACTCACATGAATACTTAAGCTAAAGAGTTCTCTAGCTACATGTGTCAAACCACCATCTTACCACAAAGCTTGAATGAGTGCATTAAGGGTTCTATGTATGCTTCAGCAAAAATTGATTATGGTGGGTTTGGAGAATTCACGAAGATGGCTATGAATGAGAATAAGTACACATGTGAAAAGGATGCACGTGTGATGTAAAATTAAAAATATTTCACACATGAAAATATGCTACAGAGTTCTAACAAGCATTTTAAATATTGAATTGCACCACCACCCCCAACTTAAATAANATGCTTCAGCAAAAATTGATTATGGTGGGTTTGGAGAATTCACGAAGATGGCTATGAATGAGAATAAGTACACATGTGAAAAGGATGCACGTGTGATGTAAAATTAAAAATATTTCACACATGAAAATATGCTACAGAGTTCTAACAAGCATTTTAAATATTGAATTGCACCACCACCCCCCAACTTAAATAAAACATTGTCCTCAATGTTTAAGAATCAAATTTGAATGGGAAGTAACTATAAAGGGTAGAATACACCTGATGAGTGACGTGGGTAGTTCATTAAGCACCAAAGATGGTAACCTGAAATGACAAAATGAGACAAACCTACAACAAAAACAAAAAAAACCAACAACAAACTAACATGAAAAGAAAATAAAATAAAATGACACAAAACAAACAAAACAAATAAAGAAAAACATACCTGCATGGTGTGGTCAAGGTTGATAGACCAAATCCTCAAGTTAAATGTCTTTCACTTCCGGAACTTGCCTATCAATTAATACTTTAAGGCGTTGACCATTTACTTTAAAGATCTAACCATCCTTGGGATTCTCTATTTCCACCGTCCCATGTGCAAAAACATTCTTCACTATAAAATAGTCAGTCCACCTAGACCTAAGTTTTCTAGGGTGCTTANAAAAACAAAAAAAACCAACAACAAACTAACATGAAAAGAAAATAAAATAAAATGACACAAAACAAACAAAACAAATAAAGAAAAACATACCTGCATGGTGTGGTCAAGGTTGATAGACCAAATCCTCAAGTTAAATGTCTTTCACTTCCGGAACTTGCCTATCAATTAATACTTTAAGGCGTTGACCATTTACTTTAAAGATCTAACCATCCTTAGGATTCTCTATTTCCACCGTCCCATGTGCAAAAACATTCTTCACTATAAAAGAGCCAGTCCACCTAGACCTAAGTTTTCTAGGGTGCTTGTGGAGTCTAGAATCATATAAGAACACTCAATCATTAGGCTTAAACGTTTTTCTCAAAATATTTTTATCATGAAACGCTTTTATTTTTGCTTTATAGATTTTAGAGTTCTCATAAGCATCATTTCTCAACTCCTCTATTTCGGTCGGCTGAAATTTTTTAAGTTTACCTGCTTCTCCTATGTTAAAATTGAAATATTTGATGGCCCAATAGGCTCGATGCTCGAGCTCCACAGGTAAGTGGCAAGGCTTTCCAAAAACAAGCCTATAAGGTGACATGCTTAAAATAGTTTTGAAAGCTGTATGGTAGGCTCAAAGTGTATCAACTAGTCTCAAAGACCAATCCTTACAATCTAGGTTGACCGTTTTTTCTAAAATTTGCTTAATTTCTCTGTTTGTNGTCTAGAATCATATAAGAACACTCAATCATTAGGCTTAAACGTTTTTCTCAAAATATTTTTATCATGAAACGCTTTTATTTTTGCTTTATAGATTTTAGAGTTCTCATAAGCATCATTTCTCAACTCCTCTATTTCGGTCGGCTGAAATTTTTTAAGTTTACCTGCTTCTCCTATGTTAAAATTGAAATATTTGATGGCCCAATAGGCTCGATGCTCGAGCTCCACAGGTAAGTGGCAAGGCTTTCCAAAAACAAGCCTATAAGGAGACATGCTGAAAATAGTTTTGAAAGCTGTATGGTAGGCTCAAAGTGTATCAACTAGTCTCAAAGACCAATCCTTACAATCTGGGTTGACCGTTTTTTCTAAAATTGCTTAATTTCTCTGTTTGCAAGTTCTACCTATCCACTTGTCTGAGGGTGGTAGGCAATAGAGATCTTATGTACCACCCCGTATTTTTTCATCAAAGATTCAAAAGAATAGTTACAAAAATGAGTATCTTAGTTACTAATAATAGCACATGGTATACCAAATTGAGATAACACATTCTCTTTAAGAAATTTAATTACCGTCTTATTATCATTGCTCCTGCAAGATGCTGTCTCTACCCATTTTGACACATAATCTATTTCCACAATAATATATTGATATCCAAAAGAAA